TGGATCCCTCTGTCTTGACAGTCTCTAGACTATTGAAAGGTGAGCAGAGGTGGGCAAGAAATACTGGCTCAATTAAAGTTTTTGAAATTATAAATTTTGGAAATCATGACCAAGGGTAATGTTTTCTGTGCTGCGTTTTGTCTATATCAGTATCGGTTTGGGGTGTTTGCTCTGCCCTGGAACTTCAAAAACCAGTTTCTGACCTTCTTTTAAAAGTAAATCTCTTACTTAAGATTTAAATATATCAAATTCTTTTATTTTTGATGAGGAATCGTAAATAAATAATGTAAGGATTTTTAAAACTTTTACATCTCAAAGAAGACATGAAAAGTGAAAAATGCCCAATTTGCTTTAACACGACTGCAATGTTATAAACATTTTGGACTTTTATTTGCAAAGGAATGTAAAGAATCTTTAAAGACTTACTTGGTAGAGCTGAAATATCACCACTGTACTCCTCTAGAATGAAACATTTGTTAGACTGGATCTTGTTTTGTTGTTGTTGTTGCTTTCATTCCTTGCTCTTTAGACTGTTGTTTTAAATCTTATGTTTTTTCATGTGTTACCAAGGACAAACTGTGAGAGCAAATTCCATAGCGTAGAACGGAATGCCTCCCCCTGCCCTCCCCAGCCACACACACTTAACGATGTCTGCATGTGTTCTCATCCTCATCGGCAGACTTTTGTTCCCTGCCTGAGAAAGACAGCCTCCCACTAAACAAATAAGGCCTCCAAAGGATGTGTTTTTCTTTGCTGTTCCTGCAAATTAGCATGGATCTGTGCTATGTTGTATAGAATTTCAGAGACACATTTTATTATTTGTGCTTGATAGGAAAATGTGCAAAACCCATGGTTTGCTTATTGCAGATACAATTATCTCACCTTTCTTTAAATCAGCATCAGTAAGCATAAATTCAGTCACATAAATGTCTTTACTTTTAAAATCATGAATAAAAGTTAAGTTTACTGACTAAAACATATCCTTTGGTCCAAGGAATATTATTTATATAGCCTTAACTTTTTAATGGAACTTAAATATTATCAAAGCTGTATTTCTAGAATGAAGTATGAGATGAATCAATGTATTAGAAGTTTGCACATATGTCACATAACAATCACTTCCTAACAAATGCTTAGAAGGTCCTATTTATACATTTGAGCCCTTGGTTTCTACCCCGAATATGTCTTCTTAAATCCACTGTTTTTCTTTTCTCTTTAATTTCAGTTTGTTTGGTTTAATGATAGCTACTGAACGTAAATGCCAAATTACAATGGCACTTCCCAGCTGTGTGCAGAACTTTATATTTTAAGTACCAATTTGTGATGAAAGAATGCTTCCAGCTCAATTCTCATCAGCATTAGAGGCTTTAGCAATTGCCAATTATTTTTCTAAATTACCTATTTTAATTAAGTAAAATATTGTGAATTTAAGATTATGAAGTATTCAAGCATTATTTCATCTTTAACTAATTAGTGAGGAAAAGGGAATTATATTTTGGGACATTAAGTGGCTATTTTTAGAATAAAATGCTTCTATGGTTTCAATGGTTTAAATTAAGAGAAAATGCACAAACTTCTCTTGAAATCCTGTTACATTTGGGGTCTTTGCTGGAGTACACCTTGAACTGATTATTTGTTCTAATATGACATAAATTTGTATATTAATTGGAGCCAAAATGCCCAGGAGGTTGAGGCCGATATCTCCTTGACCATTTTAACACATCTAGATCCCTCAGCTACATTTTAAAACCACCCGTTTCTATTTTACCCCCATAGAACAAAGCCTAGAATTTAGGAAGGACCCCAATTTATATCCATAGATCTGACCATCATCCTTAGTTCAGTTCTGAGGTTTCCAATCCTAACTTATCACTGGATCCACATTCTATTTCTTACAAGGGCACTTCAAGAGATATGTACAGATGAAGGAAAATTGGCACCAAAATCTGCCTGCCTAGCAGCTTGCAGCAATACTGGAAGGCATCAAAAGCCATTATTAACTGACATTGGTAACGTGGTTTTGTAAAACCTTCCTTTTGTATGTCAGTGCAGGCTACGATGGTTTCTAAACTGTTGCTTCAACGCAGACAGCACAAACTCTTTCTATAACAGCGGGTCTCCCAGCTTCTTCCACCTGAACACTGCCCATTAACGGCAGTGAGCTCCAGAGGAGAAAAGGGTTAGCCAACAATTCTGCTTGGCTGCTTTGGGGGACAGCCAGTGTTTTGCAGACTAGTGAACTAATTATGCACTCTTGATGAGATCATTAAAGAACAATAAAGGAAAATGGAAACAACTCACAATATGTGTAGACAAATTTCTATATCGAATAATTTTTGTTTGTATTTAAACGTTGGGTAGAAACTTTCTATCCCGAGTAATGGTTGCTTTAAAAAAATTTCAGATTGAAACTTATCCTTTAAGCACAAAAGTATCATCAGAAATATTTAGTCTCTGTGACTACCACAGAATCTCCAATCTGATGGACAAACTCTGCTCTCGCCATGGTGTGGTGCCTGCAAGGGAAGGGGCCAGCACTCCTGGATTCCCCTGCACATTTTCAGTGCTTTTGTTTCATTCATCCATCTCATTCTGGAAATGCAACTGGGAGACTTCTATTTTAGATGTGTGTTTATTAAAATGCTACTTTCAGAAGTGCTTTCCAATTTACTCAACATGCAATATTAGGTAATATTTGAAAATACAAAATGTGGTGACTTTTGGCATTGATTTCTGTGTAGTCATGTGAGTTCTTGGAGTTTCTAAAAGGGGATTTTTTTTTTTAACATCAGTTTACATCCCATTTCACTTCACAATTTGAAGCATTCAAAATGATACAAGTGCATTGGATGGATGACTCAATTAAATACAATGGAAGTCAATTAAGATAAATGCAAAGTAGTGTCTTGAACAGTAATAATCCTATAAATACAAACTAAGAAAGAAACAAATTAAACTTAGTATGGGAAAAAGATGAAGAGGTTTTGATAAGTGAAAACTGAGTACAACTGAAAGAATAATCAGCTCTTTTGTGACATGTCAGTACTATCGCTCTTGAGTGTAAGATGCACGAGCCTTTCTCCCTTGAAACCACCAGCTCCTGCTGCAGTAAGGGTGAACAATCTGGAAAGAAGAAAACAGTGATTGCCAGCAATGGTCAGAAACCAAAAGCTGTGCGGCCCTAAGAGGAAGGGCAGCTGTGATTTTACACCAGCGGTCATGTGTCTCTGGGGAAGGGGATCATTTCAGAGTCTGTGGAAAGACATCTCTTCCCAGAAGGGATGTCCCAGCCTCAGCACTGGGAGCCTCCTGGCATCAGGATGACCAGAATGGGGATGCCCTTAACGGCTAGCCCTGGTACATCCTCCTCCATGGAACTGGACGTGCCCCAGGGTTGCTCAGCCAAATGGAAAGATCAAGAGGCAACATGATAGTTGCCTACGATGTGGCTATAAAAGGCTTTTGGGGCACTGTGTGGTCCTTCATTTGCCAGTGCCACTGCAGGAATGACGAGGAAAATGGCCAGCAGTCGAGATATTTAGGTTAGACATTAGATAAGAGGCCGTCTTGGCAGCTCCAGGAGATACTCTGACAGTTCATCTTAAAGGTCACAGATCCTTCCTCCCTGCAGCATAGACTCCTAAGTGAGGTGGCTTTCCAGAGGAATCCTGGCATCTCCAGTACTGAGACAGACAAAAGGACTGGAAAGTTACAGGGGAGAAAGGAATTAAATAAGCCACACTGACTTCCAGAAATCACTCCACTTCGTGTCTAGATGTTGCTCTTGCTCATAGGCTATGTAGACCTGCCAGATTTCACAAATAAAAATACAGGATACCCAGTTAATTTGATTTCAGATGAACAAGAAATAATTTTTTTAATATAAGTGTGAAATACTTAAGACATGCTTATGCTAAAAACATTTTTGTTATTTATGTGAAATGTAAAGTTAACTGAGCATCTGTGTTTGATCAGGCAACTACAGCAAGAACCACATGCCTCATGCACACATGGTCCGTGTCCTCTGGCCACCTGCATGTGACATGCTGGCACTGTCACATCAACAAAACAAGCCCAAAGCTGTTATCTCTGAAGCACTGGAAGTTAAGTTACTACTTTATAGGAGATAAGCACTTTTTAAACATTTAATGTGGAAGAAAACATGGAATACATATATATACATTAACTCACAACACAAAATGACTTATCCTTGGCCTCCACAGCCTTCACACCTAGATTACAGAATTAATTTTTCACTGGTTCTTCCTACTTTCCACTTTGTCCCCGTACCTCCTCCTATACAAAACTCTCAAATCAAGTGGTACAAAGGCTGCTTTCCTAAAGTGACTTCCCCTTTGGGCATCCGGCAAATGCCAAACAGGCAGGAAAGACCCTTCCCGAGCCCCCTTTCCAAAGACGCTTCTGCTTCCTCTGCCCTTGAATGGTGCCCTGGGCTAGGAAGCTATAGATGAAGCCAGTGAAGAGAAGCTTCACCCCTCCATGAAGCAGGGAGGGTCATTCCAACTCGAGGGGTCAGGGAACACTTCCGGAGGGGGATGGCATTTGAGCTGCACTTTGAAGAATGAGTAAACTTTAGATATGGGAAGCTGGGGAGAGAAAAGCCTGGCTGGCCTAGGGCAGAGGCCCTGGATTGGGACAGGTCTAGTGTATTCTGAGAGCGAGGGGCCCTATTGGCTGATGGTGAGAGGATGCCCAGAGTCAACGAGATACCTTTTTGTCATCTATAGAAACCTTTTGAGTACCATGTCATAATTAAGCCATGCAACAGAAAAAGTTATCTGCAACTATTTTAAGCGTCAGAAACTAAGAAGTTCATTTAAAATATCTCTGATCTCTGCCTTTAATAATTCATTTTCAGTATCACTATAAATCCATTCAACTGACTCTAAATCCCATGCCCATTTCAGAAGCCCCAGCTGCGTCTCTATTCTGTCCCAACTCTGCTCCAACTGAAGATGAGATTCCAGTGGCTGACATACCTTCGTGCCCACGCACATCCTCTTGCTTTACTTGCCAGCCTTCTCCAGCCGCCTCTTGATCTCTGCACATGCTGTGCTGTTCAGGGGCCTTTTTATGTGCACCTCCCTGCATCTGGAATGGCCTTTCCCCTCTTTTCTCCAAGTTCATCCTTCAGGATTCAAGCTAAGTATTGTCTCCTTCAAGAACTCTTCCCTGGCTGGGCATGGTGGCTCACACCTGTAATCCCAGCACTTTGGGAGACCGAGGTGGGCAGAACACGAAGTCAAGAGATGGAGACCATCCTGGCCAACATGGTGAAACCCTGTCTCTACTAAAAAATACAAAAATTAGCTGGGTGTAGTGGCGCGCACCTGTAGTCCCAGCTACTCAGGAGGCTGAGGCAGTACAATTGTTTGAACCCAGGAGGTGGAGATTGCAGTGAGCCGAGATTGCGCCACTGCACTCCAGCCTGGTGCCTGGCAACAAAGCAAGACTCTGTCTCAAAAAAAAAAAAAAAAAAAAAAAAAAGAACCCTTCCCTGAGCCCCGAGACAGGCCGAGGGGTCCTTCACAGCCCTCTTCTGTGGAAGCCCTCACCACTTCCACAGGAGAAAAGCCACAGTAAGGAAGGCTGCCTTTGGAGGGTTTCTCCCATCTGACCCTGAGCTGCCTGCTGTGGTCTCCCGTCTGGCCCTTGGCTCCTGCAGTGTCTTCTCCATCAGGGCTGTCAGCCTGGCTCTGGGCATCAGCTGCCGCCTTTAAGCTCATAACTCTGAAATTTCAGTTTGCCTGAGCCACAGACCTGGATATTGAATTATGTGTTCCTCAAAGCCTCAAGGTCATTCTCAGCTTAAAATTTAAAGCTAAACTCTCACCTTCCCCAAGCCTGCTGCTAGTCCTACATAGCTTCTCCGCCACCAGAGGAGCCTGAGGGCCATTTTAGACTCTTCTTCACCTTTCTTCTGAACCAGCATCCCAGCCCAGCGCACCGAAAGTCCTATCTGACGGTGCCCTGTGACTTCCTCCCTTTCCACTGCTGCTGCCTGGGTTCCCATTGAGGAGCTCTCTCTTTCTGGGAGCTGTGCTCTCTCACATGTCAGTCCTCCCCGAGCCTTTGGATTAGTTTTCTATTGCTGCCAAAACAAATTTATGGAGTTGGGGGCCGAAAACAGCACAAACGTATTATCTTACAGCTCAGGAGTGCAGAAGTCCACACAGGTCTTACAGGGCTAAAATCCAGGTATCTACAGAACCGTGTCTCCTCCTGGGGCTCTGCGGGAAAGCCGGCTTCCTGGCCTTGTCCAACTTTCACTCCTTGGCTCATGGGCCCCTTCAAAGCCAGCTTCTTCAAAGCCAGCAATGTTGTATCTCCTTGACCTTTTTCCTCTGTCATCTTGCTGTCCTCTTGTGCTTCCCTTTGCCACTTTAAGGACCATCGTAATTACATTAGATCCACCCAGAGTATCCAAAAGGATCTCCGTATCCCAAGGTCTTTAATGTGAGCGTGTCTGCAAAGTCCGTTTTGTCATGTAATGCCACATAGTCAAGGGTTCCAGGAATTAGCTTATGGCCATCTTGGCAGTGGTGGGCAGAATATTCTGACTACCACACCATGGAGCGATCTTCCTAAAACACATCTCTTCTCCTACCGACAATAACTAACTGCTACCTGTGGAGTCAAGTCCCAACTTCCTGTTTGGGCATATTGCTCTCCATCCTCTGTCCCATGTCCAGTAGCGCCTACATTCAAGAAACCAGTGGCATTTGCTGCGTAGCAATGTGACTGCCTCTGCGTCTACTAATTCTGCTCTTCAGTCTTGAGTGCTCTTCCCTTCCCTCAGCTCCGACGATCATTCCCAAGTCACCACCTCTACAACACCTGCCAGGGCCCACCCTCTGAGGTGGAAATGCAAACTCCCTCTGGGTGCTTGCTATCCCTACTCTCAGGCCTCTCTTGTCACCTCTCCCTCTTTATTGCACCCTGCTGGTGACCTGTGGAGCTCCCTGTGAACAGGGAACTTGTCTGCCCTGTCGCTGCCTCCCTAGCACCAGGCATGGTGAATTACAAATGTCAGCTGGATGATTGGATGAATACACATTAGGCTGCGGAGCTCATGGCCTGCTCCTGGGACCATTGCTTGCTCTCACACTAAGATGAGAATAGTTATCCAGCTAGCTGAGGATGTACACAGCCACTTCTCAGAAGGAAAAAGGACACGAACTCATGTTTCACTCTCCTACACCCCTGGTGAATTAAACGAAGCCAGAAGCACTCGGCTTGGAGGATTCTATCATTCCTCATGTTCTGTTCCCTGCCGTTTGCGTCACTTCATATTTTCTTCAGTGAACCTTTCTTGAATTTTAATAACACTATGAAAGTTGTCATTAGACCAAGAACAAATGGGGGATCGTTTACTTGTTAGTTGAGAACTAATGAACATTAGCAAGCGGAGGGGCTTAACCCTTGGCTTTTCCATTAGGACATAAGAATCCATAGAAACGATCTACAGTTCTTGGAAAGAAATGGAAAACTAAGTATTTATGGGTTCATGTATAGACTCTTGCAAATAAAATCTCTTTTATTCCTTACCAGTACCATGGGCGGAGGTAGCTCTGAGGGAATGGGAAATGCTCCCATAAATCTTAGGTACATGAAGAAACCAAGACTAGACCTTCACCTGTGTTTTTTCTGCTCTGTAGTAAAATGAGGCTGCTGACGATATTAAGAATTGTACCTACTGGGAGTGGCCACCTTGATGTATGTTTGGGCTGAGGAAGATACTAAGATGAACTTGAGTGGAGAATTATAGCAAAAGCAACCCCAGTGACGTGGAGGAGGGAGTGATGGGTTTTAGTAACTGCTTGTGCATGCCTGGCTGAACTGAAACACTAAACCTCTTTCACCCATCATTACTTGTATCTTAGGACAGGGAACGAGCTATTTGAGCTGATGAACCGTTAAAGATCAAAGCTTCCATTTTTATGCAAATAGCCAAGAGCAATAAAACCTAAGAAAGATTAGTAGGGAATGTGAATTACAGTAGGATGTGTATCATTAAAAGTTACAGCAAGCCGGGTGCGGTGGCTCACGCCTGTAATTCCAGCACTTTGGGAGGCCGAGGCGGGTGGATCACGAAGTCCAGAGATCGAGACCATCCTGGTCAACATGGTGAAACCCCATCTCTACTAAAAATACAAAACATTAGCTGGGCATGGTGGTGCGTGCCTGTAATCCCAGCTACTCAGGAGGCTGAGGCAGGAGAATTGCCTGAGCCCAGGAGGCGGAGGTTGCGGTGAGCCGAGATCGCGCCATTGCACTCCAGCCTGGGTAACAAGAGTGAAACTCCGTCTCAAAAAAAGTAAATAAAATAAAATAAAAGCTACAGCAAGCCGGGCGGTTTTTCAGAAGTAAGTTCCCAGCAAGGACAACTTTTCAAATTTGTGTTTTAAATTATTTTTAGATGAGAAGAGGTAATAGCAAAATGTAACCCTGAATTTCATTGGTTCTCTAATCCATCACAATCTTAAGATGACATAAATATGCAATTTTGAATTAGACATTACTAGGAAATAATATCACACACTCTGACATGCCAGGTACCTCGTCACACGGCAGCAGGCACAGGCTTCGGTACTGGAAGCACTTGGAATCTGACTTAAGTACCACTCTAACTAAACATGCCTTCTTTAGCTTTAGAACCCCATCTTGCAATCCAGGTCTCTCGATCGTGCTGCCGTATTAAACTGTGGGTCTACATAAGAAACCACAAGCCGATCCTTCCTGAATAGACTGCTGTCATGTTGCTTGGAGGTAGATCGTGCCTTTGAGAATAGCAGCTTTGAATGCCATGAGCACAGGCTCTGGGGTAAGAGAGCTGGATCACAGATCTGCATCCAGGCTGTGTGACCTCAGGCAACTTAGGGAACTTCTCTGAGTCCACATTGTCATTGCATACTGTTGTTAAGTGCCACGTGATGTAGCCTTGTTAAAGAATTTAAATGTTGTATCTGTTTGGCATTTAGAGTTTAATGAGTTTAAAGTTTCATTTTAGCTAAAAATAATAAAGACTATATTTGTTATAATATTTATCATTTATTATATGTGTTATATAATATATAATTATATATTTGCATCATTTTAGCTAAAAATAATATGATTTATAATTTATTTTTTATTATATTATTTATTATTTTTAACTAAAATGAAGTAAATTGATGTGCTATAAAGGAAGACTTGTTCTACTCTTATTATAATTGCATTTACACAATTTTTTGAAACCAGTGCCAAATCCCTAGTGGAAAGAACACTGGACTGAGTCTCACATTGTGGGTTTTAGTCCTGATTCTGTACTCTCTAAGTTTTTCCTACCTTCCTGAGCCACTATATTCAATATTTAATATAATGAATGTCTGGTAAGTTCTTTCCATACATTATCTTATTTACTTTTTCAAGGTCAGGGGTAACATTAACCCAATTACTTGTCCTTTCTAGGTTCTTCTTCTGCAAGATAAGCGTGTAGAATGTCCTCTCAGGTCACTTAGCAATAGTATTTTAAAGGAATGCCTCCCACAAATTGTTTTCTAATTTTACTTTGAAGAATTCCAGGGATGACAGTCCTGGAGTGTTCATGACACTGGCAGACACCTCCCCCTCCCCTTTGGTGGCCCCAATCCTCATTCTGCCTCCACCCCTGTGACTTCCTCTCCTGCCTCCTCCAGGGACAGACAACCCACACTCAGCCCCACTCTCTCCTTGCCAGTCTGTCTCCAATAGAGCCTGGCTTTCCCCTTCAGGTGTTGGTTAGCCTTTCTCTGTACCTTTAATTATTTTTCATTTCAATTATTTTTGCTGTGTGTCTAGGAATCACTATTAGATAGAGAGAACCATATCAAAGACATTGCTCTGCATGGATCTGTCCTCTGTCAAGTCCAAGACATGGATTCATTGTCATCTCTCGTATTTTTTGGACACGCGTTTGATGAGGTTTCTTAATTTTGACAGAGTTAATGCTTCCGAGAAACTTCATAAAGATTCTACAGCCATTTTAGTAATGGGGAAACTGCAGTAGAAATATATCTGTGAGTAATAAAATCCATCCCCTGGAAGCTGTCACCACAGATTCAATAATCATGCTCCCCACCCAGCATCCTTTCTGGACCTCAAGATGTCTTGTCAAGTGTATTTAATATCCAGGATATTTAATTTACCACAGAGCTAACTCAAATATATTTGTATTCATTTTCACGCAGAGTTTTGCAAGTCACCAAGATTTAAA